AGAAGTCGATTATCGACTATGTCGACAGTCGACATTGTCGACTTCAGGAACACGAAGGTTCTATATAAGACTGGCACGTCTGCCATTAGATAGGAGCTTCGTGCTCAACTTAGTTATCAATCTTATCATATTAGTTTGACATCTTTGATACAAGTAACGAGTTCACTTCCAAGTGAACAACCCGATAGTCTTCTTCTTATCATAGCATACCAACCAGCGAACACCCAGCCAAGTTTAGTTAGCCAGTTTGAGTATTCGTTACACTAGCCTTATAAGAAGCCCTTCCTTAGCCCCCTTTATAAAAAGAAGCGTCGGACCTTTATAAAGTACGAAAAGGCTATTAATAAAGACCCTCGGAAGGTCTACTATAGTAACAAGTTTATAATAAAATTAGGGATAATATTAATATATTTTAGGTAACTAGTGGCCCTAGGAGGGAGAAGGAGTATACTAATAAGAACCTATAGCCTACTTTTAAGAGTAGTTAAACAAGTATAGGATATTAGAGTTATTTTTATAGTAACGAGATAGAACCCCTATATATACTACTAGAAGGTTAGAATATAACGGCTAAGTAGTATAAGATTATACTTTAAAGGCTCTTTGTTAAAGGCACTATATAGTACGGTATAAAGGTATAAAAAAGACTTAAATAACTAACTAAACTATCTAGCTAGCTAAGTATAGTGTAACGAATACTCAAACTGGCTAACTAAACTTGGCTGGGTGTTCGCTGGTTGATAAGAAGAAGACTATCGGGCTGTTCACTTGGAAGTGAACTCGTTACTTGTATCAAAGATGTCAAACTAATATGATAAGATTGATAACTAAGTTGATAACTAAGTTGAGCACGAAGCTCCTATCTAATGGCAGACATGCCAGTGTTATATAGAACCTTCTTGCTCATGGATCTGGTTGGATCCTAGGATCCCCAAGATCCATCCAGATCCAAAGATCCGTCACGTGACTATAATGAAATCCTTGGATCGCTTAGCTAGTCTATGTCGCGGATGCCAACAAAGGATAAAGTGTATACAGCTTTTGAATCAATTGCTAGAACTAAAACCGTAGGTAAGAAGAAATCAAACTAAAGAGAGAAGAGAATCTGAAAGGAGCGAAGTTATTTAAGTTGTTCCAATGCCAAGTCTCGTCACGTGCTTGGCCGAGCGAATGAAATCCTGTCAAATGAAATCCAGCTCCGTCACAGTCTAGCCGATCCCTATTCGCTATAAGAGCATGATAGTGCTTAACCTGTCAGGACGCCGCCTGGTCTTCACTCGTCACATGCTAACACGTGATTCGTGACATATAGAGGCTCGGCGGCCGCCGAGTTATACAACTATATAACCGTGTCCTACAACCGTAGTCTATGCGTTATAGATACCCCTCTTCAAAAGCCTACCTTGTCTCGAGGTACTCTAGTATTCTAGTATTCCGGTCTATTATTATAATTATAAATAAAGTAAAAGTAAATATATCTTATCCTATAGCCTTATTCTACAACTATATTTATCTTATTAAGCTTCTCTATAAGCTTCTATACCTCTATATCTATCGTCTTTCGTACTTCCTTAAATAACCCCTCTTGGCTATATAATTACTAAACTAATATATTATATACCTAATCTCTTCTATATATAGCCTTTACTATATTATACTAAGGTTTTATACTTTCTAGTAATAGGTGTAACGAATACTCATACTGGCTAACTAAACTTGGCTGGGTGTTCGCTGGTTGGTATGCTATGATAAGAAGAAGACTATCGGGTTGTTCACTTGGAAGTGAGCTCGTTACTTGTATCAAAGATGTCAAACTAATATGATAAGATTGATAACTAAGTTGAGCACGAAGCTCCTATCTAATGGTCTAACTAAACTTGGCTGGGTGTTCGCTGGTTGGTATGCTATGATAAGAAGAAGACTATCGGGTTGTTCACTTGGAAGTGAGCTCGTTACTTGTATCAAAGATGTCAAACTAATATGATAAGATTGATAACTAAGTTGAGCACGAAGCTCCTATCTAATGGCAGACTTGCCAGTCTTATATAGAACCTTCGTTCTCCAAATGTCGTTCTACTCGATCGACGTGCTGCGACAGCTCGCTTGTGCGCGCTGTCGCGCTTCCATCACGTGACTATGAATGCTATGAAATCCTTGGATACTCAACAACCCTGAGTAACCACTGCTATGGTATAACTAATCTGGTTGTATCTGTCCTGTCAGAACGCCGTCTGGACTAACTCGTCGCATGCTAACACGTGATTCGTGACAGGCGGCCGCCGAGTTATATAAATATATAACCGTGTTCTATAACCGCGGTCTATACGTTATACTCTTTATTCTATTTTATAATAGAATAGTTACTAAATATAAGCCGGAGGTAGTAATATAGAAGGATAACGTACTATAGTATACTACTAATATTATTAAGAACTACCTAGCTAATAAAGGGATTAACCGGATAAAATAGCTACTATAATTACTTAATCTTAACTTAATTAAAAATTTATAAAAGTAGGTTAAAGACTTTATCTCTAAGAAGTACAAGGTTAGGAATATAAAGGATATATAGTACGCTCTTATTTAAACGTAGATATAAATACCCGAAGATTTACTCCTTAAGCTATACGATTCTATACTAGCTAGGTACGCTATATGGCTTAAGAATAAAGGTAGGGCAACTAAGTACTAATTAGCTATTAATTAAGCCTATTTCTGATCTATTTACATGTGTTTTAGTGAAGTAACAGTAGTTTTAATATGTAGGTGTCGAAAAAGTTATATGACCGTTAGTACACGGACCTGATTGTACCTACCTACTATCCCCCACCATCCCCCTACCCGATCCTACCCGACACGAAAACCAGCCCTTGATCTCAAAAATACAATACAATACACTAAACTACACTACAGTACACTACAATACAATACATCTCAAAACAAACAAGCAGAAAAGAAAAAGAGAGATCATAAAATCATAAACTCAGCCCCCTAACCTCACCTACCTATAGATACCCATCGTTGCATAGGCAGTAACCTCCGTACTAATAGTAGAGTAGTAGACATACATGCATAATAACGCAGTAAGTAGACGTGTAAACACCACATCCCAGCCCATTCAAAGACCGACTCCCTCGCCTTGAATCCAGAGAGAAAAAGGGAGGTGGATATCAACCTTACCCACACCCAACCCAACCCAAAACAAAAGAAAACCAAAGTAACGAAGCAAATTCAAAGACAACATAGAGTCCCCACCAAATACACCATAACCCATCAATCCGCATCATACCATCCTCACCCTAAATCTCCTCCTGAAACCTCGCCTCCCTCGCCGGACTTCCCCCCTTCACCGACTCCCCCGCAAAGCTCCGGGGCGAAACAAGCACATCATCGAACCCATCGCGGGCCTCCAGGTACCCGTAATCCTTACTTGGGGACGACAAACTACTCACCACGCTATCGCCTCCCTTCCTACCCCTCTTCATACCGGCACCCCCATCCAAGCCTCCCATCCCCGAAGACTCCCCCACCACAGGACTCGCAAGCGCGACGTCCCTCATACTCTCGCTTCTCGCACTGCCGGTGATACTAGTATTAATCTTGTTCGCCGGGTGACTTGCCCCAGTTAAGGCTGCACCGCCTATGAACCCGTGGTCACCAGCGGAGGTAGAGGACTTCCTCGACCTTTGATTGAAGGTGTTTTTCAGCCAGTTTTTGACTTTGCCTCCTTCTCTCGGGGAAAAAGGAGGAGATTTGGGAGCTCTGAATGTGGCGTTGTTCTCGGGGGAGCTTGTTGTGGTTTCCGGGGACGATGTATTGAGGTCTGCTAGTTCAGCTGTGGAGCTTTTGCAACGTTCGGCGAGGGTGGTGGGTGCTGGTGTTTCGCTTGTTGCGGGGGATTCGGGATTTGTGTCTTTGGTCTTTTGAGGAGTGGTTACGGGGACGGTTGAAGTGCCGGGATCTGATTTCAGGGACTTTCGTCTCTCTTTCGAGACTCGTTTCTCTTCCTCCTTGGCTTTCTTCTCCTCGAATCTCCTGGCTTTCTCCTCTTCTTTATCATGTTCTAATAACAGTTAGGCGATCTATTTAAGATTAAGATATAGATGCAACTTACGCTGCAATTTCCTATTGATCTCCTTCTCCTCTTTCTCCCTCGCCTTCTTCTCCTCCGCCTTCGCTTTCTGACGTTCCTGGTCCAACTTCACCTCGGCCTGTCTTTCTCGTTCCTTCTCCGCCTTCTCATTAATAGCATCCAAGATGGGCTGGATATTCTTCGCAGCTACAGCTTCAACAGCACTCTGATCGATAAAATTTCCTCCCCCAATATCGATTTTCCCATAATTTTCCATTCGCGAGGCGCTATTTGCCTGAGCAGCGGCGTGGGCTTTGACCTCCCACTCACTGAGAAGCGAGGGCCCGACTTTCCCTGTGTCTGCATATACACGTTCGTCCATTCCGTGGAGACGGTTAGTGACATTTCGTTGAGCTACAGCGATTAGAGCTTCTCTATCATGTTGGCGCTTCTTCGAGTCGACTTGGTCAAGATTGCTAGAAAATAGTGACATCTGTGCACGAATCTTGTTGGAATTTTCCCGGTCTTCATCGAACAATCCGTCACTAGATGCCCGACGTCGAGTTCTACCCCTGATGGACAATCTAAATGGTTGCTGAGGACTCCCGTAATAATCACGATAGTCGCGGTTCTTGGCGTGCTCGTTATGAAGTTTCGCTAGTCTTTCTTGGGCAAGTTTGTGAGCTGCTTCATGAAGATTGGCGCTATATTTCATTGGTGCTAAATCATCGCTCATACCCGACGGTGATGGTTGTCGATCATGTGCTGAGGCAGCTGCACGATGAGCATTTGATGCTGCGTCAATATGTTTCTGTTGGATGTCGTACATTTGCTTTGCCATGGCAACAGCTGAAGCATGAAGAGAATCTTGTTTGGATTTTTCCTCGACTTCTGGTGCAACTGGGGGATGAGAGGTATACATCTCTCGGGACATGGCAGTATATGGCACAGACCCACCATCAGTACTCAGGTTGCTTCTATTCTTGGGTTTGTGGGCGTGTGTAGCTGCGCTCAGAGCATTTGCGGCTGCATTAGCTTCATCGGGATACGTCTCGAGCCTCCGTAATGGCTGAGGAGTAGAATCTGCCCGTCGTCTACTCGTTGACATGGCACCAGTAGCAGCCATCAACGAGCCCTTTCTTCCCAATTCTGTGTAGCCGTAATCAATTTTCGGTGATGATTGACCTGCTCCGTACTTTTTGAAAGCTTGCGCCGCAGCCGAGTTTCCCCAAGTCGAAGCTTCTGGTCGCCATACCTCTACCTTTCCATCATTCTTATGTGCCAAAAGTGCTGCCTTTGCGCCGTGAGAACTCTGTTCGGGCTGCCACTGAGGTGCCATTTTGTAATCCTTTGCTAGCATAGCAGCTGTAGAAGCGGAGGTGGAGGGGTGGGGTTTCCAATGCTCAAAGGATTTCTGGTTGGCCCATCCCAGGCTTGCAGCCGTTCCGGCAGCAGATTTGTGCTTTCGCAATCCTAACCCAGGTGAAGGATAACTTGGGAGGTCTTCTGGTTTCGCGTATTTGAGAGAGGTGGCTGCACCTAAATATAAGTCAGTACTCGACTAGTATTCATGGAAAAGAGTAACGAGTGGCATACTAGCAGATGATAGTTTGTTATTGCTGTCCAAGTGCTCTCTCCCCGTCTTGGTGTTGTCATATTTGCTGACATATAGAGCTGCGAGGGCTGCTTGATCCTCGAGCTTGTTTGGGCCTGTTGGTTGGTTGGTATGAGGCTCAGTCATTGGGCCTGTTGAAGTGGCCATCATCGCTCCTGGCCGGGCCATAGCAGAAGGTGTTGCGACGAAAGAGTTGATGTCTGTGGATTGCAAAGTGTTGAAGCCAGTATTCTCTCTTTTTCAGCTGAGTGAGTTGCCGACTTGGTAGGTGGAAAACTTTAGAAGTTATGGCAGATGTTGTGTTGGTGAAGTGGTGTTGTAGGCTTGTTTGTTTGGACTGATGTCATCCGGATGCCATGGAAATGAAGTGAATCCAGAAAATCAATGAAGCGTGAAATCTGGAGAATCTGGAGAAGAGTGTGGAAGTATTGGATGAGAACTGTTGCTGTTGACTTCCGAGTCAGTCAAGACAGAAATGCCGTCTTCAGCTATGTTTAGCTCTTGTTCTGGATCCATTGTTTGCTTTCCCTCTCCTTCACCCCTCCGCCAAAATAGTCTGGTGCGTGGTACAGCCTCGACGTCATCAAGCACATCCCTGTTCATTTTGCTCCGTCATGTCTCACCACCCAATGGCGACACCTGTGCCAATAATCTGCTTCACCAAGACAGCTGCAGTGGCGTAGCTGCATGTGTCAATTGGAGATGCGATGAAAAGCATTCATTCCGCTGGGAAGGTTTCATAAAGTAGCCATACTCGTACGTGAAAAACTATCACGGAGACACCTCCTTTTTCCATCTCCACTGGGTACCTGTAGGGTATGCTGCGCTGCCTCGGCCTCCCCAAATGAGAAGATCGTCGCAGGGATCCTTTCTGACTTCCCGATTCCCATTTCCCGGTTTTGGGAGAACGGAGAAGCCCTCAGGCGCCTCGACTGTTCTGTCACTTTGACCTCCCCTCCTTCATCAAGTAATCCGGGGACAACAGGGTTGGCCCGTTTTCTACAGCAACCACTTCCTCCTTGTCACGCACTTGACCCCGAAAGCTTATCTGCTGCGGTCCTTGAGCTTACGGGCTCTACGAGTATTGAGTTTACCTGAGTGTATGGTGCCTCACGCGATCATCTCTGTCCACGTTTTCAACCTATTCACAAGACGTTGAACAGGATGTCCATCACGAAAGATGATTCTGCGTCCAAGCCGGGCGTGCTGAAGGATGTCTTAGTGGTTGGAGAGGCCTTGGATGAGCCGTTTGATAATTTATTGAATTTTCGCGATGTGGGTAAGACAGTGAACAAATTTCTTGGAGAAAAGTATGTCATCTCAATAGAGCAGGTCCGTTGGATCCCAATTGCTAAAACCTTAATAGACGTGTTACAGAAGGCCTTCTTTACAGATCCGCAAGACCAGGTAAGCCTAAATTCTCATACACTTTGATGGCTCAGAATGACTGACATTACTAGATGATGCGACACTACAAGACAGAAAAAGATTACAAGACGACTATGGCATCAAAACCATCATGGATCTCCGCACCGTGTAAGAGCCAGCCCATCGAGCTCTAAAACTATACTAACCTACTCAAGCACAGAGCACAAAAAACAAAAGGCAAAGCGCGAATCCGATCTTCAATTTGAACAACTTATCGAAGCAAATCCAGCTCTAGCAGAACCCATGCAAATCCCAGGCTTGAATTATCTGCCAATTAACATTAACGGCAAAGGATTCGAGCACAACCTCCTCTGGCAATTATCCTGCTGGAGCTTTCTGTGCGTCCTTATCCGTTCCCACCAGATAAAAGAGCATGCTAACCTATCTCACCCAGAAAATTGATATTCCTCATGATGGTTGGACAGAGGATGAAAGCCATCAGCATCCTAGGTCGAGAAGTCATAGAACCCCGCGGCTTGATAGGGCTAGGCTACGATACTCTTGATTTCTGTGGTCCAGAAATTGCAGATGTAAGTTTCTCATTCTTTTTCTCCCCATATTTGTTACCGAGACTGATAATCACAGGCTCTCCGCGCCCTTTCCAATCCAAAGACTTCACCTGTTCTAATCCACTGCACGCAAGGCAAAGACCGCACAGGAATAATCATAGCACTTGCTCTCTTTCTCCTGAAAATCCCTGTTGAAGCTGTATCTCAGGACTACTTACTCTCTGTCGAGGGACTTGTTTCAGAAAGGGGATCGAGGCTAGTAGAGATTCGTGAAATTGGGCTGGGCGAGGAGTTTGCGGGGTGTCCGACAGGGTGGGTGAAGGCTATGAAGAAGCATGTTGATGAGAAGTATGAGGGCATTCAGGGGTATGTCAGGAGTATTGGGTTTAAGCAGGTGGATGAAGATGGGTTTGTGGAAACTTTTGGTGCCTGATAAGTGCGGAGGAATTAGTAGACTGACTCATGTTGAGCAAACCATTGGCATAGCGCGGAGTTTCAGCAATGTCGAATTCGGAATCTAAACACATGTATCGAAATCTGATCTGAAGCGTCTACAATAGTACAAATTACCTTTCTAGCTTTTATCTCAACCTCTCGGAATCAATCCTTAATCGGATTAATCCCGTCGCGGAAATCTATTCACGGGCCTTGAAACCATTACATACTTACGGTGTGCCTAATCTCATCCCCTTCTTACCAAGAAAGAACCACACCGCTAGTTACCCTTTCACGTCTTTTGAATTATTCAGCAGTCGGATTCCGAGAATTTTGGTTGACACAAAGTACCTTACGGAGTACGTACCGGTGCATACCTAAGTGTACTAGCGCTCGTAGGATCAACCGGTGGTAACGGCGTCCCGGAAATATCTTAACTCCAACTCGTTACCGAAGTTCCTGCCTACCGGTTGGTTACCAAGAGTCTGGAAAGAACTGGTCGGACACGACATGTCATGAACTATTATACCTTAGACAGTCATTGTATTTAACAAGTTAGTCCTCGGGGATTTCTTTTCTCGAGAAGGAGGTTAGCATTCAGAGAGATGACTCCTCGGGCCCGAGACCAGGTCTTTTATTTATTATGCTTCATGGATATGTACGGAACAAGTACGGGATCGGGGAGTGGGGTTTGTTGATGGGCTTAAATCAGATAAGCTTCAGGCCAAGCAATTGGAGCTTGGTGGACGACAACATCTGACATCTACCCGCTACCTATTTCTCGGTGGTTTCCATTCCCGAAGCAAGTTGTGTCGGAACGAGATTGCTATACAATCTCTACAGTCTACAATTTTATTGAAAACTCCCTAACTCCGTACGAGTAGCTCATGTTGATTTCTAAACGACATCTCAACATTGGGATCACCTAAGCAGGAATCCCGTCCCGAGTCCAATCTCCAGAAAAGTATCAGCCGAAAGATGCGCCCTCAACTGGCTGTTTGTCAAGGTGGCGTTTCTACATCCCACTTCAGATGGAAGTAACCAAAAGAGGCAAAACAGGTCGCTGGAACCATTCTACCGACATTCACTTCCCTGTTCTTTATGCAAGCCCCCATACACTTATCCACTACTACAGTATATCGCTTGGGGATGTTCATAGTCAAGGTTCAACAGAGTCTGGCCTTGTACTGACTGGGCAGGTGTGGAGTCACTCTACTGGTAGTGGAGAGCTTTACCTAGCTAGCAGACAATCTACCACTCATGCCCCTGGTCATTTGGCTATGGAGAGGAATATTATGTTGACCAGGTGAAGTGAGGCACCATAGAGGTGAGGGAGGATAGTGGGGTGTCATCGTGGTAAGTGAATCATGTTCGGTACAAGTACGTCGGCTTCAACCCCTCCGATCCATCCTCCGACTCTGATGTGAATTTATCCCTTTGTTCCGTGGTTCAAATTTTTTTTGCCTCCTCTGGTATCATGGCTGATCAGGCGCGTCACCAGGAGCCACAGCAGGACGACAACCACCCCGCGGCGGCGCCGATTGTTGACAAAACCACAGAACCAATCACTATTGACATTGATACCTCTGAAAAGGGGTCGACCGATTTTTCGTCAAATGTCAATTCGCTAAACAACGATAGATCGGACGAGATGGAGGGTGCTGAGCTGCGGAAGAGACCTGATGTGGATCGGTCGAAGAGTTATGCGACAACCACCAGTGCGATTACACAAACCGATTCGCATGTGGATGATGTTGCGCAACAGAAACCATGGTACAAGAAGATGAATCCTCTGCGATGGGGTGGTATTTCTCCTGTCCCAGAGACCAGAGAGCAGTCAAGAGAGTATACAGCTGGATTTTTGAGCCTGGTTTATTTTCAATGGATTGCGCCACTCATGGCTGTATGTCAACTTGCCTGATTTATATTCCAATTGATCCATCTGCTAACTTACACATATAGGCTGGTTACGAGCGACCTCTTGAGCAAAAGGATATATGGACTGTCAACCCTCACCGAACAACTGAACTCATGACTGAGAAACTCCAAGCTTCTTTCAAGAAGAGAGTGGCGAGAGGAGATAAATACCCACTTGTCATGGCCCTACACGAGACTTTCAAGAAGGAATTCTGGATTGGAGGTTCATGTCAGCTCGTCGCCAATATCTTCCAAGTCATTTCCCCATTTACGCTTCGGTATCTCATTCAATTCGCTTTGGACGCCTATATTGCGCAACGAGCCGAACAACCAGCACCACATATTGGTAAGGGACTGGGCTTGGTATTTGGGATTACTTTTATGCAAATGATTCAGAGTTTGGGTACCAATCATTTCATATACCGTGGTATGATGGTCGGGGGAGAATCTAGAGCGGTCCTCATCTCGGTCATCTTTGAAAAGTCCATGGTAATTTCTGGCCGTGCCAAAGCTGGTGGTCGTGAGATCAAGCAAGGCCCCGAGGAGAAAACAAGCGAAGAGCCCAAGAATTCCAAGTTCTCTTTCAAAAAGTCAAAACCAGATAAGAAGGGCGCCAAGGTCGATCCAAATGCTGGAAAGGGTATTTCTGGAGATGGTACTGGTTGGTCAAACGGTCGAGTGGTCAATCTCATGAGCGTCGATACGTATCGGGTTGATCAAGCTTCTGGTCTATTCCATTTGATTTGGACTGGTCCTCTCTCCTGTCTTATCACATTGGTCTTGTTGATTGTAAACTTGGGATACAGCGCGTTAGCAGGTTTCGCACTTCTTGCCCTTGGGTTCCCTCTTCTGACTAAAGCGGTCAAGTCTCTATTCGTGCGCAGAAAGGGCATTAACAAAATTACGGATCAACGTGTCAGTCTCACTCAAGAAATCCTACAAGCTGTAAGATTTGTCAAATTCTTTGGTTGGGAAAGCGCCTTCCTCAAGCGATTGGGTCAAGTTCGGGATCGGGAAGTAACTGCTATTCAAGTTCTACTTACCATTCGAAATGCCATCAATGCCGTCTCGATGTCTATGCCAATTTTCGCCTCGATGCTCGCTTTCGTTACATACTCTCTCACCAGTCACAACCTCAATCCTGCGCATGTCTTTTCATCACTCGCTCTTTTCAATAGTCTCAGACTTCCTCTGAATCTCTTACCGCAAGTCATTGGCCAAGTTACTGATGCCTGGTCTTCGATATATCGTATCCAAGAGTATCTGCTGAGCGAAGAGCAAGAAGCTGACGCTAAATTTGACCGGGATGCCAAGAACGCTGTTGACATGCACAATGCTGATTTCACCTGGGAACGAACCGCGACGCAAGACCCCGACGGTATACCAGTAGGCAAACCACTTAACAAGGCGGAACTCAAAGTCGAAAAGGCTGCCAAGAAGCAAACAATCAAGGATGAAAAGAAAGCTGCCAAGAGTTTACCTTCTGGTGATACCACTCCGGATGATGGGGCGACACTCAGCGAGGACCGGGAACCTTTCAAGTTGCACAATATGAATTTTTCAATTGGTCGTAATGAATTGGTTGCTGTTATCGGTGGCGTTGGCAGTGGAAAGAGTTCGCTACTTGCTGCGCTTGCTGGTGATATGCGGAGAACCAAGGGTGATTTATCGTTGGGTGCTAGTAGATCCTTTTGTCCTCAATATGCGTGGATCCAGAATGCTACTGTCAGAGAGAACATCTTATTTGGGAAAGAGATGGAAGACGGATGGTAAGCCTGCATTTTTCCCTTTTCACGTCCTTTTTTCGCTAACATGTGTTGTAGGTATCGTGCAGTTATCGATGCATGTGCTCTCAAGCCAGATCTGGATATGCTTCCTCAAGGAGATGCCACTGAAATTGGTGAACGCGGTATCACGGTCTCTGGAGGTCAAAAGCAAAGACTCAATATCGCTCGTGCCATTTATTTCGATTCGGATTTGATTCTCATGGATGATCCCTTGTCTGCTGTCGATGCTCATGTTGGCCGTCATATCTTTGATAACGCTATCCTTGGTCTCTTGAAAGATAAGGCAAGAATTCTTGCCACTCATCAACTTTGGGTTCTCAATCGCTGCGATCGGATTATCTGGATGGAAGATGGACGTATTCAAGCTATCGATACCTTTGACAACCTTATGGCAAATCATCCCGGCTTTCAACTCTTGATGGAAACCACCGCTATTGAAGAAAAGCATGAGGCCCAGGATCACGCCAACGATGACGAGATTGAGGACAAGAAAAAGACCCAGAAGAAGAAAAAGAATGCCAAAGCTCTGATGCAAGCGGAAGAGCGAGCAGTGAAGAGTGTTCCTTGGTCTGTCTACGCTGATTATGTTCGAGCTTCTGGAACCATTCTCAACGCTCCCATGGTCATCTTGTTATTGATACTCTCTCAAGGTGCAAACATCGGTACAAGCCTTTGGCTTTCTTGGTGGACTAGTGACAAGTTCGGCTACTCGAGGGGTGTTTACATTGGTGTTTATGGAGCTCTAGGTGCCTCTCAGGCACTTCTGCTTTTCTTCTTCTCGCTCGCCTTGACTTTAATGGGTACCGTTGCAAGCAAGACTATGCTCAACAGAGCAATCACTCGAGCGCTCCGAGCACCAATGTCTTTCTTTGATACCACTCCTTTGGGACGCATCACCAACCGCTTTTCTCGAGACGTGGATGTCATGGATAATACTCTCACCGACGCTATACGAATGTACTTTCTCACTATGGCCATGGTCTTGTCGGTATTCGGGTTAATTATCGCGTATTTCCATTACTTCGCCATCGCCCTGGTACCTCTATTTTTTCTCTTCATATTTTCCGCCGGCTACTATCGTGCATCGGCTCGAGAAATGAAGCGATTCGAGTCTGTACTTCGGTCCAACGTCTTTGCCAAATTCAGCGAGGGGATTTCTGGAACTGCCTGTATTCGCGCCTATGGACTGAAAGATCGATTTATTGTCGATATTCGTGACTCGATCGATGAGATGAATAGTGCGTACTTTCTCACGTTCGCCAATCAGCGCTGGTTATCAACGCGACTTGATATCATCGGTAATTTGTTGGTCCTTGTTACTGGTATATTGGTGGTAACTTCCCGGTTCAATGTTTCTCCTTCGATTGCTGGTCTGGTTCTCAGTTATATTTTGTCCATCGTTCAGATGATCCAATTTACGGTTAGGCAATTGGCAGAGGTCGAAAATGGTATGAATGCCACTGAGCGTATCCATTACTATGGCACACAACTCGACGAGGAAGCTCCATTGAAAACCATCGATGTACGCGAATCCTGGCCTGAAAAGGGAGAAATCATCTTCGATAACGTCCAAATGAGATACCGTGCCAACCTCCCACTGGTCCTTTCTGGTTTGACAATGCACGTCCGAGGCGGAGAACGTATTGGTATCGTTGGTCGTACAGGCGCAGGAAAATCCTCCATCATGTCTACTCTTTTCCGGCTTATCGAATTGTCTGCTGGCTCCATTACCATTGACGGTCTGGACATTAGTATCATCGGTCTTCACGATCTTCGCTCTCGTCTCGCTATCATCCCGCAAGATCCTACACTGTTCAAAGGCACAATCCGCACCAATCTCGACCCGTTCAACGAGCACACCGACCTGGAACTCTGGTCTGCCCTCCGGCAATCCGATCTCGTCTCCGAACACGCCTCTCTCGATGACAAGTCACCCGGTCGCATCCATCTCGATGGAATCGTCGAGGATGAAGGCCTCAATTTCTCTCTCGGACAACGCCAATTGATGGCTCTCGCGCGCGCCCTGGTCCGGGGCAGTCAAATCATCGTCTGCGATGAGGCGACGAGCTCCGTGGACATGGAAACAGACGAGAAGATCCAGCGCACCATGGCAACGGCCTTCAAGGGCAAGACGTTGCTGTGCATCGCGCATCGGTTGAAGACGATCGTCGGATACGATCGCATCTGCGTCATGGATCGGGGGATGATTGCGGAGCTGGATACCCCGTTGACGCTCTGGAGACGGGAGGATTCGTTGTTTCGGGGGATGTGTGAGAGAGGGGGGATTCGGAGGGAGGATTTGGAGGGGTAGGGGGGTTTGTATGGTGTTTGTGTGACAGACGTGCTTCAGGTAGAACTCAGAACAATTAACACTCTATTCTTAGGACAAAAGACGAGGAAAGAAGGAGAGCTCGAGAGAGCTGGGAACTAAATACAGGTCGTGCGCGCTAGCGCCTCGCTAAGCGAGCATGTGACATCCAGCCCTCGTGACCATAACCGTCACA